CGTCCGGTTACCATTCCAAGTCGGGTATGGGATTAGTTATATTGTTTGTTTTCGGAAGCATGGACTTGGTGGTGGAGGAAGCCGTAACCGACCAGCGGTTACGTGAACCACCCAACGACGGCGAGGAGTCCAGCAATCCTCTCGCACATAACCATCCCTGCCTGGGATTCGAACCTGCGAACCCACGCAGAGTAATTAGAGGTGCGGTGGCGAGCGTATTCCTAACGCTTAGCCCGTTGAGCCACACCGCCGCGCACAGCAAAAGATGTGGCACCTGGCAGTATTGGCTGGACACAAGTTAGAGATCCCAGGTTCGAACCGCGTGTTAGCCACCCTGACAAGTGTATAAGACTTGCATCTCGTTCAAAGCAATAACGCCTTGAAAACGGATGAATGGATAAAGTCAAAGTTTTGCACAAGTTTGCTAAACTCTGACAATATAGCAGAGGTCCCCAACCTTTTATGGCTTGTGGCCCCCCTTCCAAAGGTTTCTAAGCCTCATGGCCCAGTGGTATTTAGAGTGTTATTATGATTGTTAGATTCCAATTCAAACAATTCATGCTCAATAAAGTGATTAGACCCCGTGAAACAACCTTATCAAGCAACGAAACTAGGAAGTTTTCTTGTCAAGGGACAAGTAGAATCTGTTCTGCACCTTGTGACCCCTATTTAACGGCGACGGCCCCTTGTTAGGAACTGCTGCGCCAGGGTAACTACTATTGGGCTGAGTGGTGGACTCTTATGTGTAATTACCGCAACCAGGGAAAGCGATTTTTAACAAAAAAATTGATAACATTTTTAATTAGAAATTTAATTAGATTAGTATTTACAAACATGATTAGGAATAAATTTAGCAAAAAAAAAAAAATATGAAAAATAACAAATCATGATTTAATACTAATCTATAAATACTATCAGCATAATGGCCTAGTGCACGGGTCAGCAACCTTTAGCATTGAAAGAACCGTTTTGCATCCTTTCCATGAAACTCGAACCTCCTCGGAGTCGCAACATCTACTTCAATGTCAGAACTCAGAAGGATGTAATAATTATTAAAACATAATTTTATCAAAAAGGGGGCAATCTTGCTACAATTACTAGCGCTGATCATAATATGGGGCTCTATGCAACCTATTCTTTTGCAGAAAAACCATTATAAACAAAATTTAGATATAAAGAGTTATCTTGCTACAAAAACCAGGGCTATTCATTCATAATTTTTATTATATAGTATGTGTACCAGGTCAGAGTTAGGCCATAATTTTATTCCAATTTTCCTTATTTTAGTTCTATTAAGAGTCCCGGAAACTGTTTGTATTAGTCAAGTGAATATACCCCCTGCCCTTAGGTTTCAGTCCCTTTACACAACTTGATGTAAAACAGGCGAACAAAATTAGTCACCTCCATATTAGTACACATACTTCTGGAATGCCCAATAATTTGTGGAAAAATGTTTCCGAACATGGCCTGATACATTCAGATTCAGAAACATTTTGGATTCGGAATTGCAAATTATGCATTGAAGAGAACGCCACCCTTTTTTCTTAACAGAATTCACTCAAAAATGAATAAAAATAAGAAAAAAAAAAAAAAATAAATTAGTTCAAAATGAATAAACATCACCGGGCTAAGAAGTACAGTGTTAATAAAACAAGAAGAAAATGAAAAAAGTTGAATTAATTAAACATCAACCTTGACCCGGTACAGAAGCGACTTGACTGAGAAATAATTTGCTCAAAGCAAGGTGTTTACACTCACTCAGAAGCAACGTAGACTCATTTATAGTAAAGGCAACCACTGTATTGCCAAAGCTATCTCACATCTATGATAAAGAAACATAGCGGTGAATGAGAAGTTAGTACTCAAACTAACGTTTTCACGATAAGAGTGCACACACACACACGAACCTTTTATATGCTTTACCTAACCATTTTAAATGAACAATTAAGGAAACTTGCAGGTGCCAGAGTTTCATAATCAAGATTTAATTTTCCCTACGTTCAGCCGGAACGAAAATTTTTTCCAACATAAAGTCGGCAGTCGAATATAAATTTCACCGGCTCTGAAGCCCTGGTCTTAAATCAGGTATGAGAAAGGTGAATTACTACATTTTTTCAAATTCTGATTTTTGAAAATTACGATCATAGAAATGGAATCTGAAACAATATTCACATTAAAAAACTATGCAGCAGTTGAAAAAGAGGTCAAGTTAACTTCAGTGTGATTCAACATCAAAAATAAGGGAGTTTGAAAATAGCAGCACTGACACCTTTATACTAGCATTAGATAATTCTGACCAGACACGCCTCAATGGTTATATTAAAAGAAATTGTACTGAAGTTTAAAAATAGCAGCACTGACACCATTACATTAGCATTAGATTATTCTGGCCAGTCACACCTCAATGATTATTCAAAGAAATCGTACTGAAATAAACTAAACTTAATAAACAGACACAAAGTTGAAATAAAAAACTATTAAAGCAGCTAATGTGTAGAAGAGTTGTAAGTTTTGATTATTAAATTTTTTCACTGATGTTAGTAATGAAGGCTAGCCTGTAGGGTGAGAGTTTGACACGATTTCATTGATGTTCGATATTTTGAAACCCTCCACTTTATGGCTCTGGAATTAGACATTTGATTCATTCGATATTCAAAGCTTTGAGGCCTGAATATGCCAGAAGTTTTTGTAGTCCAAAATCCTTTTTTTTTTCAGAGTTAGTGTTTGGGAGCACATCCTAAATTTTCAGAGTTTGGCAATTTTTTTTTTCATGATATTAAATGTATCAAAAAGTTTTTGCGATTTTAGTTTTATTGATATTGAAAGAAGATCAGTTTTCAGCCTAACGTTGTGGCCCCCCTACAATTGCTTTGTGGCCCCTTTGGGGGGTTACGGGGCCCCCACTTGGGAACTACTGCGCTTGAGTTTTACTTCTATATTTCCATGTGTATTGTCCCATTTCAACATGGTAGTCTTCAACCGTTGTTCTGTTAGTGAAAGATAGATGTCAGACAACTGTGTCTTAGGCCAGTTAAGGCCTTGTTAATTTTTAATTAATTATGCGGGCGCTTTCAAATTTCGAGGCTAATAACTATACATACATGCGAAATATTTTTTCAAGTCAGTGCGTAAATTTCCTCACCGTAGTTGGTTACTTCACAATTAATGGCTTATTTCAAGCACTGTATTTATGATGCATAATTAATATTTCATTTCTACAACTGCACAATGTTAGCTCAAGCGTGACATAATTAGAAATAAAATTACTACATGGCAGCAAAAACATCTTCAATGGTGCCACAGGAAGTTAGTGGCATCTTAACCATGTCGCAAGCAAATGGGAGGTCAATCCCCAAACCCATAGTTGGATGATATTTACTATGGCAGCACGGCATTTCAATGGGGCATCAAATTGATTTCAAGGCATTATTGAATGCCTCAGTGTCTCCAAAGTCTCAGGGCAGTGTGTGTCTTTCCAATGAAAATAATTCTCTCCATGCCACGCTAGTAGATGGCATGGTTTGTTTTGATGCCACTGCCTGAAACACAGGAACCATGTTACATGGCATTAGTACACTTTTGATGCCACAATTTTTATAAAACGTCATTGTTTCAAAACACAATGAGCAAAGCATTGGTGGCTATTCGATGCCGTTTGGTAGGTGCCATGGCTCTCATGTAATAAAACACAGCAAGGTGTGAGGTGCGGTATGACAAGTGGCATGGCACATATCTGATGCCACTGAGTAAAAAACATTGCAAGGCATCACAAAAATGCCACGGAACAAATTTACAACAACCATTTAGTGCCACAGTGGGCATCGAAATATGTCCCACATTTACTGTGATATGTCCGTTATTATCGGGGTCCACATTATGAGGGGATTCCCATTTGGGACCAAAACGGCAGCGCTGGTCCTCGATTCTTGACGATTGCATTCGAACAATCAATCTTCGTCTGGGATAGTGGGCGTTAGCAGCACCGGAGCGTCGAATATGGGAAATGACGAGCACTGGTCATTTTACCTCATGCTCTGAAACAAACAAAAAAAAATCAGGTCTAAATATTTCATTTTGATTAGGTTCTGATCAAAAATTGTAGCCTTATGGAATAGATTCTTGGGTACTCCCGTAGTATGTGAACCAAGATGGCAAACACCGGAACGTAGTAAGTGTACCAGGTTAGGGTTAGGCCATATTTTTATTCCAATTTTCCTTATTTTAAATCTGTATCTGATATTATGGCCTAATCCTAAACCGGTACACATACTACGTTCAAGTGTCGGCCATCTTGGTTCACACACTACAAGAGTACCGTACCTATTTTTTTTTTTTTTTGCTCAAATCAAGGTGACTTGCGCTCACTCATGAGTAGAACTGGGCATTTTCGAATATCTGATGATTTCAGAATCAAATCAAAATTTTTTCTGGAATCTCGAATACTTGGAATACATGTAGTTGTATATGGCTGTTATGGGTCCACATATCTGAAAACACGTAATCTATCACTCGGACAGTTCACACACAATAAGAAATATGTTTCATCAATAACTCACTCATACGACAGAATTGCATTTTAAAAATTTGACATGAATAAAAAAACATGAGGGATTCATCTCGACTTGCGGCGGATAAAAACAAGATGGCGGCCGTCTAAACCGATGCGAATAATTGGTACTCCCGTAGTATGTAAACCAAGATGGCGAACACTGGAACGTAGTATGTGTACCAGGTAAGGGTTGAGACTTAATTTCATAACTTGGCTAATCCCCGAACTCGTAATAGAACTAAAATAAAGAAAACTGGAATAAAATTATGGCCCAACCCTAACCTGGTACACATACTACGTACTGATGTCCGCCATGTTGGTTCACATACTTCGGGGGTACCTAATAATTTATTAATTGATGAGAAATGCCCATACCTACTGATGAGTATAGTAGACTCCTCTCATGTCATTGTAAGAGTGAAATATTAAAAACTCCTCACAAAACACTCACCTGGCATCTCATGTGAGTGTTAAAAAATGTGTCATCGAGTGAATGTCTGTTTTCGTTTCCTGGTATCCCACCGTTTCCCAGTCTTGGTCGAAGAACCACTGAAAAGAAAGAATGAATACAACTGAAAACTTTGTTTTTCTAAGGAAATATCGGTAAGAAAGGGCACTCTTACTCGATTAGAAATAACCGAGCAAAGTGACTGACAAGGCGCGGCGGTGTGGCTCATCATGCGTTAGGAATACGCTCGCCACCGCACCTCTAATTACTCTGTGTGGGTTCGCAGGTTCGAATCCCATGCAGAGATGGTTATGTGCGAGAGGATTGCTGGACTCCTCGCTGTCGTTGGGTGGTTCACGTAACCGCTGGTCGGATACGGCTTCCTCCACCACCAAGTCCATGCTTCCGAAAACAAATAACTGGCTAACTAATCCCATACCCGACTTGGAATGGTAACCGGATGAGAGGCCGTGGTTCGCCATATGGATAAGACGTCTTATCGGCTTTCCTCTCCCCCTGGATAAATATGTGAATCCTGTCCTATCCTAATTCCTTAAATGCCAAGTGCTACTTGATCACTACAACTCTGATTGCCTTGCTCTGATTCGCAGGTTCGAATCCCATGCAGGGATGATCATGTGCGAGAGGATTGCTGGACTCCTCGCCGCCGTAGGGTGGTTCACAAAACCGCTGGGCAGTTACGGCCCCCCCCCACCATCAAGTCCATGCATCTGAAACAATTAACTGGCCAACCATTCCCATACCAGATATGGACTGGTAACCAGCAAGAAGCCCAGGTTCACCATATGAATAATCCACATTAACGGCTTTCTTCATCCCGAGACAAATTCGAAGAATCCTATCCTAAAGACTGATGGTGGTGCGTGATGCACACTTGCCTAGGACGAGTTATGGACGAGCATTGTAATGATATCAGCTAAAAGCAAGGCTATGTGCACTTTCTCAGAAAAAAGGAGACTCATATTTGCTTGTTTAGAACCTAGTTCAGAGCGGAAGATGTGAATATGTGCTGTATATAAAACACTCTACCTGGTAATGGAGCTGCAGCGCCATCTGGTTGTTGCAGATTGTTGACGCCATCGTTGACCCTTAACCCAGGAAGTCCAGAGAGACTTACCCTTTGCTCATCCATGGTTTTGATTGTGAGTTTGCTAACATATTCATCATTGTTGAAATTTGCTGATGTTGACCGTCTAACAGAATAAGAGAACGATGCTCAAACATTTGGACACAAAGACATAAACAAAGTAGTACGAGTGTAGCAATCTGTCACAGTGTACTATGTTACCCGCTGTCACGATGTCATAAAAACGAGGAAGGCAGTCATCACGATGTCATAAAAACATGTTCCCATAATAAAAACTATAACGCATTTTGGATGAAATATCAAATCTCACAGAAAAACTCAGGAACAAATACAAGTAATAGCATTCTAGCAAAAAATACCGGCACTGTAGTCTTCACGACTTCGACTGACCACCAGGATGTAACAAATGTGAATGCAGAACCCCAACAAGGTGCGTAAATATTAATTTCGACGACATGACCTCTCAAAATGTCATAATGGAAAACGAATCCCAGAGAGTTTTTGAAATAAATAAAATATCCGCTTAGTGAAAAATACAACCTTTAACCACTGACAATTTCAAAACAATTAACAACTATAACAACAACATGAAATAAAGAACAACATAGTAACAAAACACTGTATGATTGCCACCAGGTATATTCATAACACTGACTGTGCTTTATTTATCATCGATAGCAATGTTGTTGTGACAATGCCCACGAAAATGACTGTTTCTCAGTTTTTCGAAAAAAAATAATAAAAAAACACTCACCCCCATCATTTCCAATGGGTTATCATCCCCCCATTGCCCCATTCTCTGCAGGGTGATGATTTGAGGGGGATCTGAAGGGTTAGGTTTTAAAAACGCCGGTAACTCATATTGGTCGTCTCTCATTTCACATCGTTGATCGTCCATCCTACGACCTTGAAGTCTTGTGATAAGGTCAAAGAAATTGTCATCCTCTAGCATGTCTGGCGAGATCTGCTGAGCAGGAAAGAAATTTTTATTTGATGTGGGGGGAAGGGGGGATAAAGAATTGGCTCCTGTTACAAGCACTAAATAATTCCTTCTCATTTTCATATGAGTAATTAAAAAAATTGAGAGATTGTGTTTTTAGTTTGCCATGATCATTAGTTATGGACATTTAAATGATGCTGAGGAGACGAAGGAAATTTACTCCCAGCCTTGTTTGAGGGTCAAGAGAGCGTATACTGTATATCATCGCAAATAAGCCGATTTAAAACTCAAAATAAAAAGTTCCCAAGCTAAGAGTCGGTTTATACACGCATAACTCTGATCGCACTAAAGGGACAGCAGTTTGACAGTGAGAGTGAGGATGAATTTCAAATTTTGAGAAGGATTTTCTATTCAAAAGTAAAACATAAAAAATATTGGTGATTATTAGGGCTGTCCAAGCGAACCGAATATTCAAAATCGAATCGCTGAAATTTGGTACATGATGCGCCTCACGACCACCTTTGCACTGCGATTTTCACCGAGCAAGCAAAAACAATGTTTCTATCGCTTTCTTTGCTGTAAAAAAGTGTCTCCTATTGCCCGGTGACATGTAATTATCCATTTCATGCATGGTCATGAATGAAAAGTTATCGGTAACAAAGATTCAAAGATGACGCTTTTTGAGAGAACACAAGGAGAAAAAGGCAAATTTAGTATCAGCAAAAACGACAGTTCTATAAATAGAATCGATTTGTAGCTGTTGAGTCAGTAATCATAGAGACATGGTGCAGGACTGAAACACGTTTTGGAGTCCAATCCCTTTTTTCAATAGAATTTCTTCTAATGGCAATACTTTGATCATCCATTTATTAATTACAGCAATAATATGGTCATCAACAAATAATGTCATCAAACTAGCTCTGAATTTGTGAGTTCCCAAAATTCAATTTTAAATTTTTTGTGCTACAGCTATATCTATATTAATAGTTGTTTATCATTTTACTGAAAATTACATAAAAAATCTCGAGTTAATAATACTAATAATAATAGGTAGCTACGGTCTTTCATTGCCCTATTGAAACTGAATCCATTAAAAGAGTCTGTGTAATTTCCAACTCTTAAAACTTGATAGTTTTCAAAACCCTAATTTTTTGACTAGTTCAAGGAGGCTTCTGATCTCCTTTTATAACTCTGGAAACATAGTTATGCAAAATATTAGCAATGATTTAGATATAACTGCACATAAGTTATCACAATATCGAAGAGGAAGTTTTTATTGTACAATAGAGACAAATATGGGATTGCGCAATATCGATTCGAGAAAAATATTCGATTCGAATCAAAAAAAGATTCGATTTTGGACAGCCCTAGTTATTATTAAGTGCAGTTTTATCTCTATTTTAAGCTGAGCCAATATCAAATAGGACAATATTCGTATTATGCCATTTCCGCAATATCGAATAGACTCTTAAATATATATGGCTGAGCAGAAAAAAGGAAAAACGATATTGCCTCCAGAAAAACACCTCCAAATTAAATAATATTTGAAATACAGAGTTTTGTGCCCAAATGTGACCACTTATTGAACATTCTCCCTCTACGAGCATTTACTATGTTTTACCTGTTTACGAAACCAGTTTCAATTCAAAGAAAATTTGACTGGAAATTTGGAAATTCATCAAAAAATTAAATATAAAAACCATTCAAGACTTACTGTTTTCATTCACTGGACTGTTCAGCTACTCTCAATAAGCTCAGCATATCCAGGTACAGCTACTCCCAGTATATCCAGGTTACATCTCTATATGAGTTATGAATCCCAAAATGCTCTTGTGGAAACATGGCTCAATATATCATCGCCTACATTAAGCTAAGGCTAAAATCACAAGAATACACAGATTAGTCGATATTTACAGCAATAAAAGAATGTATAGGATATGTTAAATTATACAAGAATTATGTGGCATCACGAATATGGGGGTATGCTTCAGCAACAAAGAACAGTGGTTAGAAATAGAATTGTGACATATTGGTTGCATTAGGGATCAAAAAGTATTACAGGAAAATGATGATAAATTTAATTTTATCTCACAAAACAGTTGCATAACAATTACAAAACCTACTTAATAAAACATTTGAAGATTATAAACACACACTGAAATAACATTGTCACACTATTTAAAGAATGTATAACTCTCAGTTTAATTTATTGATATGCTTGTCAAATATATCGAATAATAACAATCATCGCAAAATTGAAATATTTATAATATTATCTGCTTTCTCTTTCTCAGAATTAATATACGTTTTGAAACATTATCATGCTTGGGAAACAGTAAGAATACAACAGTAAGCAATATACATGTTTAAAAATAAAAATATAATGAAAATAATTGAAGATTATAAACACACACTGAAAAAATATTGAAACACTAATTAATAACATACGACTCCGTTTAATTTAAGACCTCACATATCCAAGTGGATGTTCTATTGAGTGAGAGTCAGATATACTGAATAAATACACATGAAACAATCACAATAGTCAAGAATCTAAGTTCAATTTAAGGGTATAATATATTATGTCAGAAAGTTGGCTCTTTAACATCAGAGTCAAAATATAATATAAATACAAAATTTAATACAAATAGTTGGAGATTATAAATTAGCATGAAAATATATTAAAACAGTGATAAAGAACATATGACTCAGTTTAATCTAAGAACATGCACTCACTCTCACTTTAATTCAAGGAATGCATGTCCAAGTGACAGTTCTATAAGGTCAGAGTCAAAATATGTAAAATAAGAAGCTTCATTTAAGTCTAATTATCGCACTATTCCAGAATGAATATATCAGTAATAATATTAGTCCGATTACTTGATTTAAAGTGTAGGCCTCACAAATGAAATGCAGAATTGCCTGGTATTCAACAGTATTCTGTGGTTTGAAGTAGGAAGTTTAATTGGAAACTCCAACCTATATTTTTTGAAGTATTTCGCACCCCAAAGGACAGTATTCTTTGTTTCTGGGTTAATTAGGAATAGGTTGGATATTTGTGAAGTATCTTTGGATGCTTCATGCTTGGAAACCTATGCTTTGCTGTGCTTGTTCAGAATTTTTCGAATTATTATTTCTAATCAAAACGGGGATAAGATTGGATTATGTATACAGAAACCCCATGATCCACACTCTATCTCTGCACTTGGACAAAGTCTCACAGTTTCCTTCCTCAGAAATTCCATCTTTGACTCGGACAACTCTTGACAATAGAACACGAGCCCTCCCACCCTCTGAACCAATCTAGAAACAATCATCAGTTCATCATCAGTGAGAGATTCTGTAGTTGGTCTTCTTAGGCGTAAGAAAGACAACTTGACATCTTCATTTTCTAAACTTGAACAAAGAGCTGATAACTGCTCAGTTGTTGGAGTGCAATGACGTGCCAACAGAAACTTTGCCTCAGTATTTTTCAGCAACTTTGCCAGTTGTTGAAATGCTTCTGCATCCATGTTAGGATCCTTTATAATACCCAATGAATCCAACTTGACACCATATTCAATGACTGCTTGGTTCATCTTACTTATTTTCTCTGCATTCAGGCCAGTCATCATTAAACTTTTGCACCACCATGACAAACCAATCCAATTAGATAAGAATAACCAAGGTTCAAGTGCTGGACTTTCACTTATTATGAGGCTCCCCAATCTTAAGGTTTCCCTTCATCACGGCTTCATTCAGGATTCGAAGATTCTCAGCATCAGAGTCACAATTGATAAGATGAAGAATTCCACTGAACATTCTCACAGAACCAAGAACATGTTGCAGAGAAGAATAATTTTCAGGATGTATTTCCAATCTCAATAGTTTCAAAGTATGAAGTGAAGGACTATGCTCAGCAACAGACATCACTGCATGCTGATCTCCAGATAGGGCTGAGATCAAATTCATCTTTTCTATTTGTGAGCAAACTTTCTTGATCACATCAGAACCACATTCATGTAATAAAGTCACGACTCGTATCTGAAATGACTTTCCTTCAATAATTTATCCAAGTAGCCCATCAGGTATTCAGACTTGATATGCAAGTTATCAGGAAGATATTTTGCTGCTTTTTCTGAAGTTGATTTGTTGAGAATAATTCCAAAAGTATGTTTTATAACGACTTCCATTCCTGGTTTATTATAATAATTCTCGATAAACTTCTTGTATTCATCCAAATCAAGAGTGCAGGCATACAGGGCAGCAAGAATCTCTCCTATACTTTGATGAGGGAATCTTATTTTTATATCATCGTCGTCGCAACATACTCAACAAATCGAGTGTCAGCATCCATCTCAACAAGTCCACGCATGTCATTCATATCCAGGTTGAGTGACTCAATATAACTTGCTGTGAAAACAAATCGATTTTCTATCATTCCATGGAAAGCCAACTTCATGAGTTTTGATACAGGACGTTTGACATTTCCTCCGTGACGAGATCCTGAAAAAAGTTTCAGAACAGAAACCATCAGATTTGTTAAAGTGCCAACATCACTTTCCTGAGAATCTTTCAAAACTTGAACCAAGTAGAAAAAAAACATTGGGTTTGAAACAAGTTCTGGTGCTTCACGTCTCAAATCATCGAATATTTTTTTTGCTTCACAACTAAATAACTTTTCAGCAAGAAGTTTCAGTGTTTCATCATCCCATCCCCCTAAGGTGAGATTCAAGGTGGCCTTGAGATCTGGAGGCAACTTCCAATAAACATTCCAACGAGTCGTTGACAAAATCTTCATTCCTGGGTACATGTGGCCGGATAAAATATTAGCAGAATAGTGTTGGTTTCCGCTAGAGTGTCCACTCCAATTCTTCCATAATCATTTGCAAAAGGCTTCCGACTTTGATCCAACCCATCAACTACAAGTAGAATATGCTTTGAATTCAGTTTCAACCACTTTTGTCCAACACGATGGAGATGCTCGGAAGTTTCAACCAAGTTGTTGAACGAATAGAAGATCAAAAGCGGTTGATTGAGA